CTTATTAATTTGAAGATGAAGTTGGAACAGGTAACAGATGAAGAGCAGTGGGGTGGGGGTGCAGTTTTTATCACTTTCTTCCAGATAATCTGAATCTGAATTGTCTTCAGACATAAAGAACCAATATTTGCTCTCAAGCACATAAAAATGTTTTAATTTGCATTTTAGGAACACTTGTGAGAATGTCAGCAGAAAGAAAGTACAAAAAAACAAGGGTAATAGGATGTTGAAATGTCAGAATAAAAGAGATTTTGCAGAAAGTTAAAATAAAACAGTTAAATGAGCAGTCTACATGAAGTGACCCTGCAGAGTAACATATTTTTCAGACTATAAGGCACATTAAACAAAACAAAACAGTCAGATAAGTCAAACGTTATCAACTCATTCACAAAAACCACATAAAACTGGTTTGAGGTCAGTAAGCAGAATTAATACACAAGGTGCACCGTATTATAAGGCTCACTGTCGATTTTTTATAAAATTAAAGGATTCTAAGTGTGCCTTACAGTCCGACAATATATTAAAAAGTTAATGAAGCTCAGACCCCTTTCACACCAAATTCCCTCAAAACTTTTCAGGTATTCCTATTTATCATTTTTCTTTTGAGTGTCTGTGTTTGCAGATGATCTGAGGACAGATGCAACAGCTTTATAAGCGTTCTCGATGAGGAAAACAAAGAACAACAGATCAGAGCAGTCTGTGTATCAAACCATCCCAGATTAACCATAAAATACGAAGAAACTGATCATGCATGTTTTGCTTTTTGCAGCATTTATGTGATAAATATTACGTATTTATCGATGGAGACTTGCAGCAGCGTTGTGCAATTTTATTAAATACAGTGAGTTTCCTCTTGGAGGTAATGAAGACCCTCTGGAACAGTTCTCCTGAGTCTTGCGGTGCATTAACTCCTGGTTAAAGTGTAGAAGAATTTAAAAGCGGGGTTAAAATTTAACTCTGCCGTGTAACTTTGTGTGAGCGCATGACTTTCTGCTCCTTCCTCATTAGTCCTGCTGCCCTTTGGCCCCAAGGCCAGAAGAAAAACCATCTCCCCCCACCGCCACACTCTGCCCATCCTCAGGCCTTTGACCTCCAGCGCTCGGTGGAGCGATCTAAAATAAACAAGGTGGCGGAACCAGGCAAGGAAAAACATCTGCTGGGTGGGGGACTCCACGGCAACGCACCACGTCTGATCAATATTTGGCCTCCTCTACCACGAGGAGGCGGTGGGAAACTTCCCATTTTGTGTGATTTCAATGTGATATCTTGTCTTCACTGTTTGCTGAACTGTTTACAGCAGCAGAGATTTAACCGGATGTTTGTGGGAACAGATGAGATTACCGTATTGACTGATTTCAGGCCGAGAGGGAAAAGAAGTCTTGGCCTTGCTCTGACTCAAACATCTGAAACCCGAATTTGACATTGATCCTGATTTATTATCAGTTACTGCCGACGGCAAAGGTCGTAATGTTTTGGCTCATTTCTTTTTTAATGTTTACAAGTTATGTTTCCAGCTCAATTTAAAGATGAGTTTGCATGAACTCTTTGACGCTGTTTCTCAGTTTCGGTGCAGCCACAACTGTTGCCCTCTGTTCCTGATCACCAGCTTCAGACTCCCGTAAATCTGAGTCCAATCTGTTGTTTCTGCTGCGTGACCTTTGTTACACCAGACGCTAGCTGCAGGTCGCCTAAGGTGCTTAGGATGACAGAAAATTACCTTAATCAACTCAGTGAACAGGACTGCAAATGCTTTAACAGAATTAGGTCGAGGACACTCCTCTCGCCATCTTTCCCCTCTGAACACCTCCTCGCTGTAATCTGCTGCTCGCAAGCTGAGCTGAGAGATCTCAGTAGATCTTCTGCTCTGCAGGCTGTAGGGATCTTCTGCGTTTACCTTCCTAACCGTTTAACAGTAGAAGAAAAACATCACACTTCACAGAAGTCTATTGGGCGTCACTACAGTGCGAATTCAGGTCAAACGATGTAAAACCCACAACTCTCGCTGATAACGTTGTTTATGTTGGAGCCATGTTGTTTGTGAACCCCTGATTAACTTCTGAATGGGGTAATCTAATTGGACTGGAACGAGTATTAACAAATCAGTGCCAACACAGGTGGCCATTATAGTTGTTTGTCTGACGTTCCTGTGTTGATCCAATGACCTGTCTGGTCAGTCAGTGCAGAAAAACACCAGCCCTGAACCGGATAAAGCCGGTTTATAAAATGGATGATTTGGATGTGAAGGATGACTTTGAGGTTTTCAGAAAGGATACCTCTGACTACATCTGTAATCATGAAGGCAAAATTACAGTTGAAAAAAGGTTAAAAAATGTATATTAGAACATAAATATCTGCAACATTTGCACCCTGAATTTAAAGACCAAAACCCCAAGAAAATGTCTGCTGCATTTACTGAATGTAAATTCTGAATAAGGACAAATGCTTTTTCTCATATTTCCACTTCCTTGTTCATCACATGTGCTGAGCAGAGACACATCAGTTTAGATTTATAACTTTTAAAACATGTTTTGCAGAGCACTGCGTAGAGTTTTCATGCCTCTCCACGCATGTGTTTTCTCCCACAGACCAAAAACATGCATGTTAGGCTGACTGGTCTAAATGGTCCCTAGGTGTGTGAGAGAGAATGAATGGTTGTTTGTCTCAGTCTCCATGTGATGGACTTGGGACCTGTCCAGACTGATCTTTCTGGAAAATGGATAGATCTGTGTTCTGCAGCTACACTCTACTTCAAAGCAAAGCAGTTCGACTACTTGGAGGTCTTGTTTATGAATAATGGTAGAGACTAGGGAGTGGAGGGCGGATTGATGGATTATTAGGGCTTCATCTGCAGTCATGAGGGTGTTGCTTCGGTCTGTTGTAGTGAAGAAGGTGCTGAGTTGAAAAAACAAGTTCTTGATATCCTGATGTATATTTAATCAGTCACCGTGTCACGAGAAATGAATCACGATGGAAAAAACCAGATCCTGACAAACAGCTTCCCCTGCAGAGCGTCTCAGGCGAAGAGCTGCATCATTTGAGGGCAGCTAGGAGTAGAGCTCCAGCTCCTCCACCCTGATGGAGTCAGATGGTTCAGGCATCTGATTAGCACGCCTCCTGAACCTTCCCTCTGAAGGTTTTCTGGCCACATCCCACAGGAAGAAGAACTTTGTGGCGAGATTATGCATCCTCTCTAGCCTGAGTCCTCTGGGATCTCCCAGGAGGAGCTGGAGGGAGTCACTGGGGAGAGGAACATTTGGGTTTCCCTCCTGACCTGTTGCCTCCACGACCCGGCCCCAAATAAGCAACAGAAAAAAGGATGGATGGTTGCTTTGCAGCTTTTACGCTGCACCCAGAAGCTTAGTTTTTGCTTCTTCAGCACAGAACGTCCATCAGTCTGGAGAGAAAGAAAAAGCTGGAATGAAATTTTTAACATTCTTCTGAAAATGTCCAGATTTATTTATTTATTTATTTATTTGTATAAAAACAGATTATCTTTCAGTTCCTGAGTGACGCTCCTGTAAAACACCACTCACAAAATAAAAAATAAAAAAACACAGCAGGTGCTGGTGCTGAAAATAAGTGTGAAAAAAACTTATTTATTTATTTATCTAATTTTCTTGTTTTATTTATTTATTTATTTATTTATTTATTTATTTTATCAATGATAAAGGCAGACAAACTAAAATATCTGTAATTATTTAGATGGAAACAATTTGTGCGTTTTTATGCTTTTAGAACTTTTAATAAATTTCAGTAAATGTCTTTCTGGATCCAGATTAGTGTTTTATTTATTTATTATTTATTTGTCTGTCTAATTTCATTCATTCATTCATTAATTCATTTGTTCATTCATTCATTCATTTATTGACTGGTATTTGTTTGTTATTTAAAAAAAATATATATATTTTTTTCATCCATCCATCCATCCATCCATCCATCCATCCATCCATCCATCCATCCATCCCTATCTATCTATCTATCTATCTATCTATCTATCTATC